GTACTTCCCGGTTCTCCAACATGTTTCACTCGCGTATTGACGCGCTTCCCTCTCCAACCTGGCGCTTCTCCTTTTCCATCGATCGCAAGGTACATGCGATCTTGCAAAACCACCACCCTGTTTATGCGCTCCCCTCCGCACACCGCTCTCCCAGGTGCAGAGTCTGCACCTGGGAGAGCGGTGTGCGGAAGGGAGCGCATAAACAGGGTGGTGGTTTTGCAAGATCGCATGTACCTTGCGATCGATGGAAAAGGAGAAGCGCAGGTTGGAGAGGGAAGCGCGTCAATACGCGAGTGAAACATGTAGGAGAACGGGAAGTACCAAGGGTACTGTACGAGCAGATTCCCGCTACTAGAAACCAATAACTGCTTCACACTTGTGTCGGGGACTTTTGGCTCTGGGCTATTTTTGAGGTGTAAAACCGACCGATTTGCACCCTGGAAATATCCCCGGGCTAAATGATTTTACCTTTTAACTCCCCAGTGGAGCGGATTCACCATGGTGTAAAAGCTAAAATTTTACTTTTTAACTCTTTGCTCATGCCGGTGGGGATGCTCTTAGCCGGCTTTTTCTTTTGAACACCTTTATATGCATCAACGAGTTGGTTTTCACTAGAATCGACAAGCAAATGCTTTACCTGTGGTGATGGCCTTCTGGTTTCAAAAACTAGAAGTGGAACCGCGAGTTTGGTTGTCTGAAAAAAAAAACTTTTGTTCTCAAATGAGGCCTAACGGTCCGATAGACACTAGCCTCGGAGCAAGCAACTATTTTTTCTCCCCCTTCACCGTTGCCCCCTCAAGTACAACTCTCCGGTGAGGGAGGGGCCCTTCTGTAGTACTGTACTCAACCGACAGGGGCTTGAAGTCAGTTGGCAAGGGCTTGAGGTCGGTTGGCTTGGGGTGCGTGAGGAAGGGAACAAAATACATTCACAGGCATACTGTATGATACACTACTGAGTTGACGCGTGAGAGTTTCACATAAAATTCACATAAAAATCTGCAATGAAATACACCTGTCAAATGAATTTGCAGAATTGTGCCAACACAAAAAATACTGTAATAACCGGCGAGTTGCTGAAATGGGAGGTTTGTGTACTGTAAAGCCGAAACTCCAATGCATTGCTGCTTTTTATCGCGATTTTTTTCTACGGGGTCTATTTAACAACGCTCCTGGTCCTTTGAGCAGCTATGCGGACTACAGTATTGGCTCGTGTTTGGGGGTGTGGTCGTTGGTTTACGTTTTGGCTCTTGCCTCCTTTTCCACACTCGCTTTCGTTCCGAAGACCTCCTGCAGCACCGGTCATCTGGCTCCCTCCAATGACGGATCTCGCTATGCGATTAGTATTACTAACGCCCTTCTGTTTTGACCTCGCCGAGTCCAGTCACTGTGCCTTGATAACCTGCCTTGGCACGTCAGGGTTGCTTCCCGGCATGACCTCTGCAGATAGGCACGCCGGCCACTAGGCGCACCCTTCTGACACCTCACGCTCTCTGATCATTCTCCAATATGCAGCGCATGTTACCGTCTCATGTCCAGTGCGTTTCTTAATTTCTTGAATCCTGCGCGGACACGACTTTGATCGTATGCCGTGAGGCGTAGATCGTGCAGTCCGGTTGCTCGATCGTGGACTTTACTATCGATCAGACGCAACGCAGGTGTACCCCCCCACTAGCATGTCGTCGTGGAATTCTCCTAATCTTCGGCTACCCGTACCAACGTGGAATACCGGCTCGCCTGGCGCGTCGGCCACTACCTCCCCGACGAGGCCTGCGGAGAACTCCTCGCCCCACTTTTCGTCAAGGTATTTCTTCCTTGTGTAAAGATTAACTCCCCGCTCATTGGATCCACCTACTGCACCTTGACCCATGTAACAGCCCGTCCCGCTTCTCCATAACTGAAGTTGACAGGGCCCGACCTCCTCAACGCACGCATTGATTTCTTCAGCGGACACGCGCCAGAACATAACTCCCCATCCTTTCACAGACCTGGAATCTACGAGGATCATTTTGTAAGTCAAGTGAGCTCTGGTCGTCTTAGGGAACATGATGGCCATCACAGCGATACCTAAAAAGAAAGTGATTCCAACACCTTCGACCGTGTCCATAACATTCTTCAAAGTAAATTGAAACTCTCGTTTGCCGAATGGGCCCACGACCTTGCCTGCAATCCCGAAAGCTATAAGATTGACAGCATATATTAATGCTGAGACGTACACATTGGTAACCGGAGAGGCTGCATAGGCATCTCCGTCATAAATACAGCTCTTGGATAGGATACGCGTGATGAATTCCCTAGCGTCCAAAGCCCCGAACCCCCGCCTCTCGGGTGCTTGCCATGCCACTATAGTACGACATCTGCTATTCTCTTCATCTTCACTCGCTGAGTAGCATGTTTCTGTGAAGATCTTAGCCAGCCTGACTATCCCGCCATCAAATTTGCTCTTTCTTCGTAAGTCAGCGTGACCCGCAACAAATCGGTAAAACGACCACGACAGGCCGAAGAAGGTAGTTAATCTCAAGGACCTGATGTACGCTCTGTTAACCCGCCCTTCTAGCACATCGATGACTAAGCAGCACCAGGCCAGGTTGACGATGAAAGCGCCAATTCTGTAGTGGTCGAACATGATCGACTCTAAGGGGAATAAGACATAATCTAATACAAGCGCCGGTACTGCCGATCCGGAATACAAGTTATCTGCTAAGACACAAATGCAGGCTATAGTCAGATAACCCAAATAAACCCGCATTACAGCCCAGTCCAATATAGCGTCTTCTATCGTTCGTTTCCAGTTGCTCCTCTGGAATCTCCTCACTACGAGTAATGTTGCCTGAAGAAGCGCCCATTCACCGAGGGCCAGGAAGGGCAATATCCGTGATGTAATCAGATTCGTCCAGCTCAATCCGAGACTTCCAGCCACGTACAATGCCGTCGGGATCGCGTAAGTCATCACCTTCAATGTTCTTCTGTCTGTTCCCGTGAAAGGCATCTTGGTCCGGTCAAGACCCTTATTGCTCGCCACGGCCGGCTCTGGGCCGGAGGCAGCGCTCCCCTTCTCAGATAGAAGTCTGTCCTGGCCTTCCATATTATCCAAGATCGCTGAATCATTGTCTCTCATGTTCTTTCTTGGACTGTTTCGTCTCAAGTTTGCTCGCGTATTCACAGCTTTGAATCGGTGTGCCCTAAGTTTATCTTTCAAGGTGTACGGGGAGAAGGGGGTCGTGTGCTCGGGTTTTCATGCAACTCGTAATTTTAAGTGCACGATTACAATCCGGTTGTAGTTGCAAATTAGGAATGAGTGCTGGAACTTCCTAGACGCCTTGGGGCGGCGATAAAAAAAGGAGGCTCCACGGGTTGAGGAGGGGGAGAAGCAAGGGGAAGGGGGCAAGAGATAACAAGTCAAGTTGTAAACCAACAGCAACTGTCGATCTGGTCCCGAGACAAGCAAAAGAGAGTTAGAGAAGGTAAAGTTTACTCGGGCTACCAGACCGCGCTCACCCTTGTAGATCCCGGCTAACGCCGAGACCACGTACAGTAGTGGTCATTAGTTTCGTCCGACACCGCCCCTCCATCGTCACACTCATTAGGCCCTGCCGTTGCTGTGGCAGCAGGGGCTGTCAGCGCCGAAACCTCGGCCGAACGCCGAGGGGCGAGCAGAGTAGAGAACTACTCTTGACTATGCTATGTTCCGACAACCCAGAGGGCGCGAGGTCCCACACGGCCGTCGCCGCCGACCTAAATAATGCACCTGAGTGCCAACTGTGGTCCAGTATCCTTACTATCCTTCCCCTCTAACAGGCTCTACTACCGTACTGTAGCTCTAGTGTCTACAGTATCCGACTGCGGCTTGTCCTCATATGAGGACAGCTATTTTTTTACAAAAATATATACATTAAATTGAACATTCAAAAAGCTACCTTTAGTACTATTTCTTTAACGTGCTTGTTTTCGGCAATAGCATCTTGCCGAAAACCGGGATAGCAGCATTGAATGCGCAAAAAGCTTAATAATATAATGCAGATTGAGTACCAAGTTGCCTTCTTGGGCTGGCGTTTTTGGTTTTGAGGTTATTTTACATGGGGTTTTAGGGTGCTTTAGCAAACCTTCTTTTCCAGACCGATCTAAAAACCACCAGGAAGAACATGCAATTCTCACAAAGTTGTTTCCGTGCCCATGTCAGAAGTTAAGTGCAGTGCCGCAGGTATGTTTTTCTTTCTTGTCGAGGAAGCGTAAGTCAAGAATAAAATAGGACGAATACTGTCCTCATATGAGGACAAATGTTCTCACATGAGGACAATGGTCCGATGACACTAGTGTCTATTGGACAATGCGCCTCATTTGAGGATTTCGCCTCATATGAGGCTTTTTTGCCGCGCCGTTTCTGGCGCAAAGAGGGAGAACTGAAAGCCATAGTTACCGCGAAACAGTAACAGTAAGAGTAAAAAACAATGTCCAAGTCCCTTGAAGGCACCTAGAATGCACGGTATTTAGGACGGTCTTTCTAATGCTCTGACAGACAGGAAAAATCCTCATGATCAAAAACGTCCGTCCAATAGACACTAGCTCTAGTGTCTAGCTAGACGACCAGCAAGTTGACCTCATGTGAGGTCAGGCATGGCCTCATATGAGGCCAGCTTTTTTTTGCAAAAATATATACATGGAATCGAAACTTTATAAAGTCAGTTTGGACACCATTTCCTAAACATATATGCCGTCGGCAATAACATCTTGGAAAACATTGGGATGGCAGTTATCAATACACAGAGAGACTAAGAATCTAATGAAGTTTCAATGATTAGTTGTCTTTTTAAACAGGCGGTTTGGTTTCGAAGATATCAGCATATAACATTTTGAGGTCAGTCAAAAAGGCCCCTTTTTTAAGGCATTCTAAAAATGGCTGGAAAAGACGTGCAGATCTCACCAAACTCCACACTTCCGCAACGCAGAATTCAACTGCGGTGGCGAGAGTATCTTTTCCTCGTTGTTGGGAAAGCACAAATCGGGAAAAATTAGTGGAAAAGTAACATCATACGAGGTCATTCGTCGTCTAGTGTCTATCCGACCGGGGCTTGTTCTCATATGAGGACAGCTCTTTGCAACAATATATAATTAAATTGAACATTAAAAGGCTATCTTGGACAGTATTTCCTTGACGCACTTGTTTTCGGCATTAAGATCTTGCAGAACTCCCGGAGAGCAGCTTTAAATACTCAGAAAGATTAAGAATGCGATGCAGATTGAGCACATATTCCTTTTTAAACTGGGGTTTTGGGTGTCAAAGTTATTTTACATGCGGTTTAAAGTGGTTTAACAAAGCTTCTTTTTCAGGCATATCTAAAAACGACCAGGAAGAATATGCAATTCTCACAAAGTTGTTTCCGTGCCCATGTCAGAAGTTAAGTGCAGCGGCGCGGGTATATTTTTCTTTTTTGTCGAGGAAGCGCAAGTCAAGAATAAAATAGGTCGAATAATGCTCTCATATGTATGAGGACAAAGGTCCAATAGACACTAGACACTAGCAATTGGTGAGATTGCGTGCTAGAGAGCTCATCATTTGTGGCGTACTCTTTCAGATATATGGATTTTCACTGTGTTTCCACAGAGGAATTCGCAGGCGATACAATAGAACAAGCTTCGGCAAGAAGGCGTGCACGGATGACTTGCATATTGGACATGCAGAATGAAGTCTGTAGAATAATCGAGAGAGAAGCTACTTGAGGATATCAAACACTCGGGTCCACTTGGCTCCTGCTGTGGGGCTGTAAGAAACGGGTAGGTTGCGAGGGTCACGTGTCAATATGGCACTTGCTGGCCGGAATGTCACGACATTTTTATAGATTTCGTAAATTCGCATTTATTGCCCGTCGGTCTGTTTGGGTACACTATGATGACTAGCAGAAGTAGAATTGCTACTAATGTAAAGGTAGCCGGGGTTGATATTGGTCTGCGTACAGTACGCCGTCTGCGACCCGGCCTGAGAGGAAGGAAGTTCAGGCGGGGAATTGGGCCGTTTGTCGCAGGGCCCTCTCTGTTTTTCTTTGCAGAATAGGGGCGGGGGCCAGAGTGCGATTTACTGCTTTCGTTTCTTTGATTTGTCTTAAATAAAAAGGAGCTCCGTCGACGCCTAGCTCTACTAGCCTCGGAGAAAGCAAGTATTCTTTTTCTCCTCCCTCAGCGTTGCCCCACTACCGCGGCGGCTTTTGATACGAAGATTTCCGACATGACTGCGGAAAAAAACAAATTGATACAGTAGCAGACTACTTTTGCGGGATATACAGTACATTGCCTTGAACTTCATGAGTCGTAGTGACTTTGTGGGGCGCGGGGAAAAAGGGACTGCGGCGACAACGCCGAGATTTAGGCGACACACGGGGGGTGCAAAGGTGGAGGCAAAGCGAGGGAGCGTTGAGATGGAAGCGGAAAGATCGCTGCTCGATGTAGAGTGGTCTGTCAGAGTGGCTGCGTT